GGCTATGAGAGAGAACATATCAAACACTATGTTTTTTCTTCTTTCTTATATTGTTTGGTTTAACCAAGGCTAATGTATACCATGAAATTATTACGACTATGCAGTGTTAATTTGTGCACTTTATTCGTAGACAAGACACCTATCGAAACATCTATTATGACGACTTTTTTCGCTTGTTGTTTTTGTTACGTCTCAAACTTTTTATTGAAGTGAGACATTGCAGCCAGGTCATTTTTATTACATTAAATTTGGCGCAAAATAATTTCATTTTCATTTCGAATGAATTTGGTGATTTCAACGTCTAGGTTCATTGCGACAGTAAAAAAATATTAAATATGCTTTAATTAAATGTATGATTTATGTCAAGTATGTGATCTAACATATTAATTACGGAATATTTGATGCGAGCAGAGGATTATTTCATTTTTCAACGTTATTCACGTGTGACTTTTTTTTCGTTCGGTGAAATGTTTCAACATTTTGACAAGAATACCAAATTTCGCAATCGGCACGAGCTATTCTAGTTAATTGAACCTCTGCAGATAATATTTTAAATAGATGCTTGAAAGGAACCGCACGGTCTCTTTCAATCTGTATGTATATTTTGTTGCAAATTATAATTTTGTACAATGGGCTTGAATTTCGAGCAAAAAATGGTAATTTTAGTCGTTTGTTGCGTACGAAAAAAAAAGGCAGCAACAACGAAAATTATGGTTGTTATGGAGATATTATCGTGCCCAGGTTGGTCAGTGAATTTGATGCTATCACATTTTATGTGCCCGCTGTGAAATGGCAAATACAGCGCTTGTTTTTCGGCACTTGTTTCATTTACTCAACTCAAATAAAAACAGAGTGAAGCACAGGTTGTTGCTTTATTTCCAAAAAAAATGTGACCAAAATACGCAAATCTGAGAGGCATTTCCTATCGTTCATACATCTCTCCCAGAACCATTTGAGTGCCTCAACGTACAAATGTCAATGAATTATGACACAAAGTAATTAAAATTCAACCGTTCCTTGACCGTAAACGAGTACGCATAAATTGACCAATTTGTAAACAAACAAGATTCTTAACAATGGTATTGGTACGAGAGGAAAAAGTCAGAGCAACTCGACACAGCGGAAACAATTGTTTCGACTGTTTGGTTAATTAATTAAATGGATGAAAAACTGACATTATAGACGAATAAAAAAACACTTTCCATAAAATGGTCTCAAGTTTTTCGCCTACTGTTTCGACCCACTACGGCTTTAAACTCATCTAATTACTCGTGTAACTTTTTGTTGTATTAATTCTCCGCACAGTAAATTCAATGTCGATTTACTTTTCAGTGGCTACTATTTTTTTGGTATTTTTTATCTTTACGTTTCCTCTGCTGTTTTTTCTTTGTTCTTTTGAAGAAACAAATTCTTTTTTGTGTAATTTGATCGAAAAAGTGAAAGCAAATAGTAGAAACGGAACTCATCAAAAATCGCTTAAAATACAGGGTGAAACAAAGGAAAAATGGTTATTTATACTCAAGGCCATCGACCGAAAATCCCACGATGGTTAAAAGAGGAAAGCTTTTTTGTCGAAATATTAAAAATGAAAAAAAAAAATGAATAAAAAAAAACACATGCGTCAAGAACATCTTCATTTTTTGGGGTCTTTAACTCATCAATTGATGACGTTTCATTTCAATTACTCGAGATTCTTGTGTGATCAAGGTAAAACCAGAATTGAAGATTTGCATACAATATTATGTGAATCCGTACATTCTGTTGAATTCCGTAATATGAGATGCAGTTAAAGAAAAAAAAGAAGTGGCAGATCTGCATAGGCAATAAGAGATTACGTGAGATTGCGATGAAATAATAACACTGCCGGCAGCAAAAAAGGTATCACGTGTTAACGGCTAAGTGATTCTCATGTTTTATCTGATATGTTTGTTTCTTGGTCTTTAAACTATTCACTCTTTATTGTGGACGGCACAAAGAGCATGTGCGCGCGACCAAAAGATTCATGTTGAAATAAAATGGATTGCAACAAAGCCACACTCACTGACGAACAATCCAATTCGTTTTTCCATTGCAGTTGCATTAACACTTTACCGCCTTCCCGGCACAAACCCATTCTATACATGTTTTTTTCGGATCTTACTAGCGATCCATTCCAATACGAAACATAATTGTAACACGAACGAAAACCGTTTATCGATTTCGACAGGTTAACGTCGAATTTTGAAATATACGAGAAACGAAAAAAAAACCGCCAAACACTTCGGAGCAACGAGTGCAACATAAGACCAAGAAAAACAACCATATTCTCATTAAGACTGATCAAATGTCTTGTTGCGTGTAAATCGTAAAATATTGATAAATAACGATTATTGTGATCGAAACGAGGTGTTCTAGGTAACAAAAATTGACCACCACTTGTGTATCATCGTCTCTCTGTTGCAATATCACAACTACAAATCTTCATAAAGTTGCGCACGAAAAACTAGATTTGGACAGATTTTTTTAATGACAAACAATAAATTCTTCGTCGAACTGGTTTGGCAAAGGCCCCCCAATATGGAATATTTTTGCGGAAAAATTGCATGCCAAACATCATAATCGATTTTTTTACCCGAAGCAAATAAAAAAAGTTTAAATGTCTTGTATGTCCTCTCGCGAGATTAAAAATAACCAACATTTAATGAACCAATTTCAAAGTGGATCATAAATTTTTGGTGCCGTTCATCTTCGGCACAAAAAATATGAAAGAAAAAACAAGAATGGAAAAAGTTGAAATAATGACAATGAAAGCATAAAAAAACAGTAATGGTCTAATATTTTAAGAAAAAATTATAATTCCTATGCGTAATATAGCTTCCTCTTCGATAATTACCTTATTATACCCATCTGATTTAAAAACCCGCTCAATACTTTTGATTCATAAAAAGACATAAGGTCAGTGTCACCAAAAATTGCCTATATTCAATATTACGATGGCAGAAGCTATAATTCAAATGTCCAAAACCGAATTCCGTTCAACGCCAAAGACGATGGTTGAAAAAAATTGCATGCAAAGTTTCTGTACCAGATGCGTGTCAAGTAAAGATTTATGTGAACAAAAGCAGCAATAAATGAACATTGCGATTGATTCAAGCAAAACAATAACAAACTCATCATATCCGAAATCGAATACAACAATGGTTTTGCTGTTATGGTTGTGCGTACAAAATCAAATCATAATAATAAAGAAGGTCATTTCACCGGCAGCAGCCGTCGCAACTGTAAGTTTTACTTTTATGAATAGCCAATGTTATCTCTTATGCGTACACAAGAAGTGGCAACACGGTAATAAAAATCAACAACAAAGAAGCAAGACGATAATAAAAAAAAAACAACAACACATAAAACGACCGAATGAAACCTATTAAATTACAAATCAACGTACTGTTCATTTGGTCGTCGTCGTCGTCGTCGTCGTCGTTCGCATGTGCCTCTGAATGTGCGGGACGCAAAGTGGTTCGATATGACGATTGTCACATTCAATTTTGACGCAGCACTTTTTTAATCAAGATGTTTGCTCGTCATTTTTTTCTTTTGTGCATTGCAACGCACATCAAGTGAGTTCACGCGATATCTGTCTTTTGCACATATTCTGATTTGGTATTCATGTTTTGCGCTCGGCAATTGCATAACCTTATGTATGTTGCTGGTTGCTTTTCTGTTGCAGCAATTGGGCGAGATACAAATTGACTACTCAATATGCATACTGTGTATTGCGATTTTGCTGCTTTTTAGTCTTCTAACACAAAAAAAACAACAACATTTTTTGCTTCGTTGGATTTTGGTACGTTCAATTGTTCCAAAAACTGATCATGTAGGCGGTTTAAACACTGTTCTTTCTTTCCTGCACAAGATTTTTGTTCCTGAATGAGGTAATCGAAAATTACGCTGTAATTATCCAATGTACATACACGTTTAGCACGATTTTTCATTCCACGTTGCTCAATAGAATTTAATGGAATTTACTTGTTCTTCTTTTTTATTGTATTTTACAGTACAATTTTCATTTCACCGAAAATCGGTCAGCAGAAAAAGTGCAATGAAGGTTAAACAATGCATCATGAATATGTCAACACCACGCCACATGTGTGCTTGTTCGATTCGTCGCTTTGTTCGGAACGACGTATTTGATGAGATAACCATTTTACCTTATGCTTCTGATGTCGTTGCGATTCATGCTATTTAACTTATGAAACAGAGAACAGAAAATAAATCGCTACCATCATATAATTACCAGAAGATCAATTTTCGGGCCTTTTACATGCAGAGATAAATGTCACACAATATTGAACATGATTTGTAAACATCACGTGAGTCGTAAGCACACAAATACGACAATAACAAAAAAATCTGTTTGGCTAAACTGGTCTGCACATTTAAATCTTCTTAAGTAGATTTATTTGGTTTTCACCTCAAAGTCGATTTTTTATAGCACAATTTTAATGAGAGTACGATTTGATAAGAATCTTATCATAAGATACGAAAGACCCCGGCCACCGCGACAGAGATGGTGTAATTTTGCTCATTAGATTACTTGGTCCCATTTAATTGATAAATTATAAAAAAACTTTTTAAGATGCATCATAATTTTCGAGTAAAAATCATGCATGGCTGGTTAAAACGTTGTTCAAGGTATATTATCGTTGACTTGGCTTCTTTATGCCAATCATATGCCAAGCAATTAATTAAATTTATGAATTCTTCATAGGCGTAGTGCCATTTCGAGTGTGTGTGAGAACAGAGCCCAAGAACCTATTAAAAACAAGTCGATGGCACAACAAAAACCATATTATAGCATAACAAATAGCATCGCATCGTTGTTTTATAACAAATAAATGGATATCGTTTGCAATTCGAGCCATATGGATTCTATTCGATGTTTGTATAAAAGGCATCATTATATCAATCATTAAAATGAAGTTATTTTCTTGTGTACATCATATTTTATAATGAATTTTCGAATTGAGCACCAATTACCTTTGAAACTGAAATTTGTTTTGATTTGAAAACTATTATTAAATGTATGTGGAATGGGAATCCAAGAAGAGATTCGCATTGATTTTGTTTACACTCGTGAAAAATGACACGGTCGTGAGATTTTGATGCATCAAAAATAGATAGAGTAACAAACTTAAACGGCGATATTGAATGAAAAAGTGAGACAGAATGTATATGAAGTTGCATACAACGTAATTGTTCTCATTTAATTACGTTATTCCGTTTGGTATTTTCGTTAATTCACCGTAACTCACTCTTCATCATGCGATCAATAAACTATCCAATTGTTGTTTTTTCTTGCGGGTTTTTTCACACTTTAACCATCTGTAAACTCTGCCAGCAAAATATAGTCTGCATTAAAATACTGTTTACTTAACCATTTTGAGCAGTTTTACTGTCGACTATTTCAGTCGTATATCGAATGTATTGAGGAGACAACGTGAAAAAAAACATCTCCCTTTTTAACAATAACAAAAAAAATGTTAAAAATATTTTGAGTCAAAAATTCGCCATCCCATCGATCGATTTCATGCCATTGTAATTGACAATTGAACTTTTTTTCCTCGTAAGAGACAATTCGCGCTTCTCTCTCTGAAAATTCAGAAAAATCCACGGGAATTATAGAACAGATATTTTGCACAAGGCATTGAACTTTCAAATAGAATTGGCGAATCGAAGTGCAAATAAAAAAAGCAAAGAAATCAAAATTGGTAGTAGAATCCAAAGCAGAAGAAATCATTCATTATGAAGACCTCTAAACGTTACACATTCTTGTGGCATCGCCACCGTGTCGATTGAGAGAGAGAGATCATCGCGATGACGATGCACTTCATTATTATTTACCATCTTTTAATCGACCATTACTTTTATGGGTCGAAAAACGATGCTAAAGCAGTCGAACGTGAAGTTTTGTACAATAGAGACTGGTAATGGATTGCCAATTATTTTATTCATTGATTTTATTACCAATTTGTCGTGAGTAAATCAAATGATTTTTTGTTATTATTATACAAAAAGAATTTGTTTTCATAAAACTACCAAATTTTATACGGAGCCAATATACAAAAAAAAAATGATCAGAATTTTTTTTTTCGCTACAGTGATCGATTGCTTCGTAGACAATACGAGTCAAGGCCATTTGAAATTGAACACACAAAATTATTATATGTGTTTGTAGCCGCACAAACAAGAGAGAAGGGCTGCGAAGGTTTTTCCAGACACTGAGCTCATCTCTCACAATCAAATGGGAAAATGCTACTCCATAATGACTGCTTTCAATTTTCACGACTCCATTAATTCAATAATAAAATTAACTCAATTGTACTGTTTTTCGATTTATTTTTTTTATTTTCTTGAGTTTCTTTCTTCTTCTTCTTTTTTTCATACAACAATGATTTTTCCTTCTCATTTATTAACATGTAAACCTAATAGTATTGTGGTGTGTCAATGCGTATCATCTTTCGACACAATTCCAAGTTACCAACTTGCATTTCTAGATAAATAGTTAACATTTTCAAGTGATTTATAACGATTGGATGCTTGCATCGTTTCAGCAATGCAATGGCCAACTCATTTTCACCTTGAAGCACCAACAACACCGACAAATTGTATTCTAAAACGGCACGAGCTGCATTGCGCGAATTTATGTTCCAGTCGGGTGATGCCCACTGAATGAAATCATCTTCTTTGAGTTCACCGATGAATTTTGGCTCCAAATATGCTCGTGCCTCGTGACATCGATCTAACATTATAAGCGATTCTGCACAGTATAAATGCCCTAGTATTCTGTGGAAAAAAGAAAAATTCTCTTGTAGATTTAGTTGTGTCGACAAAAATTGTAAAAAACAAATTCACTTACGCATATGGATCTGGTAGATTTGGCATTTTAAGCAACTCCTGTGCGTATTTTAGTGCCAAAAGATATTCGCCCAAACTAATTTGTACATAACTATATGCCGCCAAAACCGCATATTTTAACTTCAAAAATGCACCATACGATAACGCCTTCGATGGATTACATTGTGTTCGTTCGTTGTTCTGTTGTAATTTCGATGTTGAATCGGGCTTTCCTCCTATGAAATCATTTTCGATATGCTCCACCAATGCCAAAGCATTGCGCAAACACAGCGACGCAAACTCCAAATTTGTGTTTGGAATTGCAAACGATTCATTTGGATCGCTGTAATTGACATTGATATGATATGATTAATTAAAATTTTCTCTTTGAATTGATAACTGGAATGAGCGTGAGTTTGCTACTTACGAAACATGTTTGGGTGGTGTCGGTTGAATAACATATTTTCTATTTAATCCAGAGCCAATAACTGACGAAACCACTGTCTTTCGTTCCTTTGATTTCAAATTCTGAAACAAAGAACATAACATTTTATTTTTATTTTTCCTGGACATAAATTCACAATTAAGTATTAATACCTCTTTGTGAACCATTATACAAGCTTCGGCCAATCGAAGCCACAGTTTTGGGTTGTTATGGTAATAATTCAACGGCACTAGAAAGCATTCGAATGCTTCTTTAGGCCGTTGCAAATGTAACATGGCAATTCCTAAATTATACAAAATTTCCGGTTGTTTCGATGCACCAATCGCATGAATGGGTGCATCTATGTCCAAACTTTCGGTGGCCTTTTGATCGAATTGAAGAGCATGTTGAAAGAATCTCACGGCCATCGCGTAATGACGCACATGAAAGTGAATTAAGCCCATATTATTGGCAACAATTGTGTTGTAATCTTCACCGTTTGTCCTGCGAAGCGTGAAGGAAATTTGAAAAAGGTCAGCATTTTCTTAATATAAGCCGGAGACATTTGTGTCGCTCAGAATGAGGTCGAAAGTGTCCTCTTAGAACCGATATACTTACATAAAGTCCGATAGTGCTGTGATTGGTTTCTTCGATAGTTCTTTAGCGGCCATTTGATAATCATGTCCGATATAGTACTGGTGCGCCTTTAGTACAAGCATTTCTGGTGTCTAGACAAAAAGAATAAATGTAATTGAATTACACAAGACATCGAAATGCCATTTAGTTTACCTCTTCAGTTGGTATCAGAATAGTTTTCTCATTCATCACCTTCGATCTCATTTTGTACAATCGAAACATCCAACGAAACTCATCTAATGGTTTGTGTGCTCTGTTCGCTTCAATATTTTTATCTAAAACGGGTTCATCGTCTTCATCGCTGATACTCAGTAAATCGGATGATGTGCTCAATCGTATCTTTAACAATGTTATTATGGCTTCGGCTTTTTTCGGTTGATTCAAATTCAATACCAATTGAATTGCAAGCAGACCGATCTTTTGTGCTACTTCTGTATCAAAGGCGTCTAAATGTTTCAAAAGTACGAGCACAATTTTAAGCGCCGCCAACGATTGTCGCAATTGAAATAAGATTATTGCTTTGTTTAACAGTGGAATTGCTAACGATAAATCTTTGATATCAAACGTGCTTAAATTTGGCATTTCACCAATGATATCATCGAGACTTTTACGGAATTCATTGTAATTTTTCAAACCACTACGATAAAAATCAACGACTGCTTTGTTATGCACAATTTTCTTCTCCGATTCTTTTGTTGATTTCAATTTTGATAAATTCTCCAGGCATAACTCATAGTTTTCACTAAAGGAAAAAAGAGATTTTTTTAAAAAATAAAATAAACACAATGATTCATAATACAAAATGTCATAGTGTCGCAATGAATATAGTCACAAAAAATCACCTGTTAAATTCAACATAAGCTGCATCAGCCAGCCGACATTGTTCCAAATCGGTGTTTAATAAGGTGGATGGATTTATATCTTTTTCGGCCATTATTTTATTGAAAACTTGAACAAATTTTTAATGCAAATTATTTTTTTTACTGAAATGCAGTTCGATGCGTTTATATCCGATTCGAGTTAGATGTAGTCAATTAGACTCGAGGTAAACAAATTGAGACGTGATATTTGAGCGGTAATAGATAAAACGTGACACTTCATTGTCATGTTTATTTGCCATGCAGACACTAGCGCCAGTCTGTTACATATCGGTCAGTTTGGAAATCAACAAATTTGAACATTAGATTCGAACTAGATTGTTGGAAATTTGATGTATGTTCAAAAGATGTGGAAATTTCTATTAAAAATATTTGTTCATTAATCAAGCTAAGCTGGATTGAAATTAAAAATGATTTGGATGATTGAAATTTTGTAAAAATTCCTTTGAATTATTTAAATTCACGTAAAAATCATCAACAAAGTACTATAGCCGTTCCGCGCGCCACTTTAACTTGCGGTGGCAACATTGCGCATCAAAATGACATCACATTTTTCTCGCTGCTGTCACCGATTTTCTATCTCTCATCAGAACACTCTTCGGCAATATTTGTACTGCATAAGATTCCACTGTAAGTATTTTCATCGAATCAATTTGATAATTTGACATTGAAAATAATCGAATTTAAGTGTTTTCATATCGAATTTAAAGAGCTACAGGTGTATTTAATCGAGTGTACGCATTGAATTTCTGTCGTTTTTGTTAAAAAAATTGCAATTTAAAATCAGCTTAACCCCACATTTTAATTGGTTATATAATATTTGCTATCAGCAGGAATAGGTGAATACACAACTGAAAAATGTCGTTTGTCTTGAGAAGTTCCCGTTTATTGGCCCGTCAAGGTGCCCAATTGATGCAAGCACGCAATTTTGCTGATGCAGCGCCATTGAAATTGACATTGGCTGGAGCTAACAAAGTGTTCTACGATTCAGTCGAAGTTAAACAAGTCGATGTACCATCGTACAGCGGGGATTTCGGTATTTTGGCTACACACGTTCCAACACTTGGTAAGTGTCACGGTTTTTATTAAAACTTTTCGTATATCAAAACCAATAACCTCCGTTTTTATTCATTCGCAGCCGTCTTAAAACCAGGAGTTGTTACTGTTTATGAAAATGACGGAGCACAAAAGAAAGTGTTCGTTTCCAGCGGAACGATTACCGTAAATGTTGATTCCAGTGTACAAGTTTTGGCGGAAGAAGCCCATCCACTCGAAGATCTCGATGCCCGTGCCGCTCAAGAAGCATTGTCAGCCGCTCAATCTGAATTGTCATCGGCAAAAGACGACAAAGCCCGTGCCGAAGCCACATTAGCTGTTGAAGTTGCCGAATCCATTGTCAAAGCTGTACAATAAATTCATTTTGATTTATGTTCAAGTGTAATTCAGTAACAAAACCATTTTTAATTTAATTGCAATACTATGCGGATATTTTGACTCATTATGTGTGTTGTAATATCAACAACAACAACAACAAAAACAGCTACATCAGTGATGTTTAACAAGATCAAATCGAATCCCACTGTTCAGTCAACCCGGTGTAATTTCAACATTGAATAAAAAAAATAAAATCCAAACAAAACATTTAGAAATAAAAAAGCTTAAAAATTTAAAAATCGAATGCTTTGAGACAATTAATCCGATCTGCGCATGATCATTTTTCAGGCTCATCCCCTTCAAAAGCTTTGACAAAAGCGTCGTTCCCCTTTCGTACTAGCATATAAGATATGCTTTACATACGTGTTGAATCTATTATTCATGTATAATGCTAAATGGTATAAAACGGTGGTGTTTGGCTTTTTGCTGTTTTAGCTGAGCGCCATGGGATTTTCGGTTGTATATACACGATGTATATGACGAGATTTGAACATGTTTTCCTTTGATTTTGTTGATACAATCAACAAGCTGATTTCATGTTACTTCAACGGGCAAGAGAGCGTGCAATGAAAATCACACACACACACCGATATGGATGCTTGCACAAAGAAAAACATGTGCTCAGAATTGGCTCGCTTAAAGCCGCTTATCGGTGTATAAAGGACACATTGTTGTGTGTTTATATGCATGGCAGAACGTACCTTTTTCTGCTATTTTTCGTATTCTTATTTCTTTTTATGCTGTGTAGTATGTGATGTGTCCCTCTTTTTTGGAGTAGGTGTTCAAGTGCGAGTAAAGCAGGTATTTAGACATACATAAGAGGTATAAGAGGTGCGTTTCATCACTTGCTTCATGTAGCATAATCTCAAGGGAAGCATCATATATAGCCATTGTGTGTGTATAGGTATGCCTGCATTTATTGCCACAATTAGTAAATAACAGTGAACTCGTGTGAATGAGAGCGAATCGAGGAAATTTTCAAATGAGCAAAAAATGCGAAAAAAAAGAAGAAGATTATGATGAAGCAAAAAAAAATAATAACGATACATACGATACCAAAACAAGGATGAATAAAAAATTAAAAGAAAAGGCGCTAAATGAGAAATCTTCAGAATTTTCCAATTCTCCAACCAAATCTCAGCTACACTCTAGACACTAATTCCACCGAAGCCAGGCTCATTTGAAAGTCGGATTTTCATTTCGTGAAATTTTAAATCATTTTGAAAATAAAATTAAATCGATGTGACGCATACAATGAAATTATTCCAACCAGCAGTAACGAAAAGAAAGTATCTACCAGTGTTTTATATATCGCTATCAGTATTCGTAAGATAACTGGGAGGGATATATTCAGCCAGATATGACACTGTCTAAATTAGACACTGGAGAAGGTAAGCGTGTCTAATGCAAGTCTATTTGACACTCATATCTGGCTGAATATATCCCTATTTATATTTTTTATATTTTATATATTTTATCTACTAAGCGTCCGAATACGGATGAATTGTATGTCCGTGGGATGTGTATCCGTGAAAAATTCTTAATACATCCGTCGCTATTTCCGTATTCACGGATAAAATATATATCCGTATCCGAGAAAAAAAATTTAGTACAAGAACTCTTCTCATACGTGTACGTCGACTTAATCGTGCTGGGACGAATATATTCTTTTTCTGTGTTCATTCAAATCTGCCAGAACATTCATATTTGTTCATTGAATGTACGCCCACCTGAAAAATTTTTTTGTCGCTCACTTTTTTCAACATGTCCTTATAAATCGGCTCAAAAATGAAGTTTGCCTCCACAGATTTATGATGG